GGCATCCATAGAAAGAGCTCCTTCTCTAATGAAGCATTTGTTTCCCAATTTATTTTGTAGCTGGAAAGAATAGAACATTTTGGACTGCAGTGGGATTATTCAATGGAAATTGGAAATAGTAGAGGGGCTTTTGCAGAAAGGCCTTCTCTTACCTGGCTGTTGCATGTTCTCTTGCAGGCTGGGTATAAGCAAAAACTCCTCCCACATGGAATATTGAAGCCTGGGTGCTACCCAGAAAGGAGATATAGGAGAGGAGTAATTATTTTTCTGAGCACTGTTGGCAGGAAGAAAGCTTTTATTACTAGCTTCACATCATCACAATAAGAGTTTAAAAAGAATTATTAAGTCACTGATGGCAGTGTAATGAATTATTAATACAAGCAGTTCACAAAAATGAATGTTTACTTATATCTGAAGTTCTCCTCTTCGAGAATATGGGTAAATAAGAAAATATCTGTGTTGATTCAAGACTAAACCTGAGGGATCTGCTAAGGTGTTACTGCAGACCACTAGGATTGTTTGCAAGAGTCTTACTGAAGTCATAACTTAGACTGTGTTGGTAGAGGAAAATCTATTTTATTGCAATTACTTTACTTTGTTTACATCGGGGAGGTAAATTTAACTTTTCAACGATCATTTGCATCCTTGCAATATATATTTTCATGTAAACAAAAGCTAGCGCTTCCTGCCTTTCTCTTTTTCTTAAAAGTTACAAACAAAAGAACAAGGAATGGAAAAAGGCAGGGTTTTGGTGAGGTTTCTTTTTGCATTTTTAGAAAAAAAAAATATTTATCACACCATTCATCAAGGGTTTAAAACGAGGCTGTGAATGGATTCATGTCAATGAAGCTGCATTTTGCTACCACATATTTCTCCACAGAGAGTCCAGTTGGCTCAAAAAAATGACTGTACCTCTTAACAGTGGTAGCAGCATAACATTCAAAATATAATTAAAACTCTACGACTTTTCTTATATCATACTGCAAGGCTTGTAAGGAGCAAAGTGCCAGGGAGGTTCTCAGGAAAGACTGTTTGAGATTCCTTATTGCTAATCACTATTGCTAATCACTTATTGCTAATCTTGACTGAGCAGGACTTGTCACCTTCCTGGCAGATATTTGAACATCTGCCCAAGAAATGTGGGATATCTGTGTGGGAATGACCCTTGGAGAGGAGTTGCATTTTCTTGAGACACACATCAAATTCTCTAAATCACTGAGCCTGTTGGGAGAATGAGAATAATGGACATTCTTACCCTGTGTTTTGTTTTTTGAAATAGTCAGTTTGTTCAGTCTGTGACCCTTGAAGGTATTTAAGTGACTAACAAGTAGGTCAGACAATTTATTTCACTCACTTGTAAACTTTGATATGGTGAGGGGCAAGTAGAAGTAGAATGAAGGTGAGAAAACAGGTGTTACCCATACAAATGTGGACAAGGGGCAAACCTGTCTTTTATGTCTCTTTAAAAAGATAAAATCTTGAAAGGATTTCAGTTATTATTATTTTTAGCTGTCTATTTTTTCCAGAAGCACATAGCTGAATTCTGTGTATCTGATTAGGTAAATGATCTAAAAAATATTGGGTGGTGTGAGGACAAAAATAGGAGAAATTATCAGAAATTTAGTTTCAGTTGTATTGAGGGTGGGTGAGTGAGGTGCTGTTCTGACCAGTGCCCAGACATTCACTGCACTGACATGTTTTCTCTGAATTTTATCAGGGAGCTTTTTGTGTACTTTTCCATATATAGTTTGCCCTGTAGGTATGGAAGGTGTTTGTTCCACAAGAAACAATAGCAACCAGAAGTGGAAATTACTGCCAGCTCATCAGATGCAATTGAATAATAATGAAAGCTAATGCAAGACAACAGTCAAGGTTATTTTTAAATCTTTGTAAAGGTCAATGTATTCAATGATATTCAATTCCAACTGCTGAAAGAATTGCTGTGCTTAAATATGATGCCCTTGTTTAGGAAATAAAAGATCCTTACTAGGAAGGGTAAACAGGACAAAGCCCTATCTGTGTCTTCTTATCTCATAATTTAGGGAAACAATTTCAGAAGTATTATTTTGATGATTAGTTTCAGTCCCAAGATCTGTGTACTTTTTCCTCCATCTCAAGCTGCAAAGTTCATTACTAGATAAAGAGTAAGGTGCCTCCTTTGTGGACCTTTCCTACCCTGGTAGCTGAAAAAAGCAAAAACAAACTCGTGCCCCTCACTGGTGGAACCTCAGGAGGCTCTGGAGATGTCATTAGGCAACCATTTGGCCACTGTAAAAATATCAGCATGTAAATTTTGCAACGTTTATTGTTTTTTTGTAGTCATAACTTCTGCCCTCCTTTTGTTATTGTGCTTATAGCAGGAGAAGAAGTGCTTAGAACTGGAGAACTAAGGAATAAAAGGAGGAGAAAAACAGAGAAACCAATACACCATAGTGGTGGTGTTGACTTTAGCTAGCTAAAGGTGTCTGAAACACCCCCTTTATGTTGCCAATTGTTGAAGAATATTAAAATTTTTCTTCACAATGTCACATCAAAAATACTGCCAGGGCAGTTTAGAGAGAGGAAATGCCAGGAAATCCCGGCAAAGGTAACTTAAAAATGTTAGACCAGATAATTCACAAGTATTATAAGTTTAATAAAGCTCCTTCTGTATAAGAAAAATGTTTTTACATAAATATTTAATAAGTCTTTGCAATGTAACACAGGCAAAGAAATGTAACAAATAATTCCTAGAGACAGCTTTGCATAAATATTTACCAGACCTTTTTTTCCAATGGTACAGATATGCTGAAATGCTTTTGAAGTTGTGGACTTTAAGACCATCTAAGAAGCTCTATTCATACAAATGCTGCTCTCTAACCAAATAAACCATCTGGATAAAGGTTAAGGGCAGAGAGACACAACTCAAGGACAGGATGGTGATGGCCATGTCAGGACTGCCACTTTTTTTCCCAGCCCTATCAGGGGAATTGTTCAGAGCTCAGATTGAAGGAAAAGAGGAGCTAAAGGAAGAGGGTTCAGAAACAATCAGCAGAAACAAAAGGCAGCACAGAGACCACTCAGGGAAGAGTTTTACTTCAGTGATGTCTGCTGATGTGTGCACTGGATTGTGCTGTGCTTTCCTTTAATTGTGTGGGTGTGGCAAAGAAAGCTTTTTGTTGTTTTGTAAAATGTATTACTGACAGCTGTTAGATTAATGTGGAGGTGTGCAGTTTCAGCAGTAATGCAGACACCAGAGCTGCATTTGCTTTAGGAGATTTAGAGTCATATTAATGGCTGAACTAATGCTGGAAGGGATGCTGAGTGTGCCACATTCTGCCACGCAGAGCTGAAGTGGAGAAGAGAGTGCTAGAGACTGTTTGAAAGCTGATGTGATTTCATTGGTTTCAACAATATTATTATCACCAATTAATTCAGGTCCAAAGAGAATTTGTACAGCATTTTTTATGTATTCCTCTGCAGGTTTCTTCCCATATCAAGTACAGCAGTTTGAAAGAACAGCATCATGTCCTTAGAACTTACCAGTAAAGAGAAAATGTTTACAACTTGTCTCTGAACAGCACTGCATGGATGATGGAACACTTCTGAAAGAATATCTGTGAAGGAAATAAACCCATTAATTGAACAGAATTACTGCTCGCCAAAGCTACATGTTTGAGAGGTCTCTACAGTATTCAAATAACTATTGAACCATTTGGCACATCCCTAATAAAAACCTTTATCCATTAGCCCCATTGGTGCAAGCTTAGGCAAATTAACTCTTTTATATGTAGATCTAAAGAAAATGGTGTGTTATAATTAAATGATTCTTTTGGGGGCAGTAAACCTCTCTTCAAACAGCTTGAATATTAGTGCAGTCGTTTTTCTTTCAGCCCTACTAATCACAGCAAATTTAGCTTGCACAGCCAGAGTCAGGGTGCATGTTACAGGACATTCTGGCAATGGTGATGAACAGATCCCACAAGAGCTGGTGTTTGCTTTGTAAGAGGATTCTATCTGAAGTTAATGTAAATGTATCTGGATCCTTGCTGCTCATGAAATCGTCTGGCTGTTTATGATGTCTGGTACTTGAGATATGTGTAGGTCAGAGCCCACCCCACAGAAGCCCATTGTGTGACTGACTTTGGATTTGAATGGAAGGTCTAGAGGACAAACAGCAACTGGACCCATCACATTTAGAAACAGAATCCTCCCTCCTCACAGTCACTCAAGCTGTTCACCCCAGTTTCTAAATTGTTTGAAACTTTTTTTTACTTAGGTGACATTTTGAACATTCCTTGTGATGGGTGGAAAGGGCACCAGATACTGAATCATAATGGAGCAGACCCATAGTTACCTTGATGAATATTTAGGCCAGGATTTCCTACCATGGCTACCAGTGGCTGGGCTCTGATATTTTGAACTGTACCTCACTTACTGCAAGTGCTGAATACCTATTTTTCTGAAAACTGGGCTCTATGGACAGGCCCTGTTCTGTCTTTTAGTTGTAAATCAAACACTTCACATTTAAATGCTGTAATCTCCTGAGACAACACAAAGCTGCTTTCAAAAAATACAAGTGTATGTGTTAGACTTTAGATTTTAGTCTAGGATATAGAAGGTAGTTTTTGTATTATTACCAAATTCAGCCTTGGATTTCCACATATCTACTAGATGTCTACTGGAATTACCAGGATGAAAAAATTTATTTATACCTCTTTTTCTTTGCTGTTTTCTATATTTTCTACTGTCAGGCTTGTGGGTGTGCTCCTGCTGAGGGGGACAGGTGATTGCTTTTGAACAGTTCCAGGGCAGTTGGTTGGTGGCTGCATCTAGCACAAGCCTCTGTTGTCAGCTACATCATTTTATTGGCAACAAAGATCTATTTTTGCTTTGTGTTGTTGGTGGGGTTTTTTGTGGGTTTTTTTTTTTTGGTTTGGTTTGGGGTTTTTTTTTGTTTGTTTGTTTTTGGGGGTTTTTTGAGGAAAAGAACTTTTCTCTTTTCTCTGGTTTGCCTTAAGGTCCAGCTCTGCCTGTATCTTTGTGTTCTTCTGGGGAATGCTGGACTCCCATGCCAGCCACTGTCATCACACAAATATCACTTTCCCCTGGGCTTTCTGAAGTACCTTGTGCCTTGGAGCATTCAGGTATGTTTGAGACACTTCACTACCTGATGCCTGAGGTCATTAAGTTTGGATGTGATCCAAGTAGAATCATTAAAATAGGACTTCTGATAGTATGGAATTATAATTAGGATTAGCAACAAGATGTGATTCAAATGGACACTGAAGTGTTGAGGTGCAACAAGCAAAGCAGATTTTTTTTTTCTTTTCAGATTTTGTGCTGCAGGATAGAAAAGGGCAATCAGTTTATCTCTCAGGACCATGAGCTGCCTTCAGTTTGCACATGCAGCTTACATTGGTGGCAGTCCCAGTGTATTCTGAGGACTCAGTCCAAACCTGACAAATATCTTAAGGAGAACTGTTCAAATATGAGCCAGCCAATTTGTTTGTTGTTCTAAACTGAAAATTAGCACACTTAAAATGGCTAAATTCAGCATGCATGTGGATCTCTCAGGCCACACCAAAAAACTCACAAGGAAGAATTTCTACAAAATATCTAATCTAAACCTGCCCTCTGTCACTTTGAAGCCATTTCCCTTTGTCCTGTCACTAATGCCCTCATCAAAAGCTCCTCTCTGGTTCTCTTGTATCCCCCTTTGGGTATTGGAGGGTGTTAAAATCTTCTCCCAGAGCCTTCTCCTCTCCAGGTGAACAAATCCAACTCTCCCAGCCTGTCTCCACAGCACAGGTATCCCAGCCCTCAGAGCAGCTGGTATTTCTGTGTTCATTTACATTTTGCCACTGTAGAATGTTTTCAGATTTTAATTCCCACCTGAGAAGGATGATGTTGCCTTTGCTCCTTGTCAGGCACTGATTAACACTGTGCACTGCTTTGTTTTTCTCAGTCTGACTGGGCTTTCCAAAGGTGGTAAGAGAGACATAATTTCCAAGAAAACATCACTCTTTTCTTCTTTCATGAAAACAAGGTGAGTCCTTTCTCACTGGCTCCACTAGATGGAAATTTATCCATTACAAATTTGGAGAAGCACAGAAATGTCAGAAACACCATTATAACTCCATAATCATTTGTTTCAGTGCTGTGTGTTTGTGGGGTCACCAGTGCAGTCCCAGGGAAGTGCAGCTTGGCTCCAGCTGTGATTCAGAGCAGTTTCAGCACCGGGGTTGTTTAACCTTGAGGCTGCTGTGCTGTGTCACTGGTGATGCCTCATGTGCAAATGTGCTGCTTTGTAATGCAGAGCCTGTACCTCCCCTGTCCTACCTTGCAGACTGCTCTCAGTTTTCTAGAAGGTGAAGCATTATTTTCCACATCTCCCCTGGGATGTATCGAGAGCCCACTGAATTCTGTAAAGACTTGGTATTTAGTTTGCTTACCAGTCTCTAGCTATTATCAGATACCAAAGGAAATACATAATGTAGCACACAGAAAAGAAATGATGTTTCAGCATTATGTTAAAATCACTGCTGTTCCACTTATTTGAGATGTTCTTTGAATGCGAGAAAAGGTCTTTTGGCATCTTAAGTCTTACTCATTTCCACACCCAGAAATATTTCCTGGTACTGGGTGCACCAGGTGCTGTCAGGAATCACAGGTGACAAATTCTAGGGTCACAGGTCTGACTTGAAAATGAGCAATTTCAGACCCAAAGGAGGCTAGAAATATTTGAGATATTCAGAAGCAGAACATACTTCTTCCTTTTTTATTTTATTTTATTTTTTATTTTCTCATCTCACCAAAGGTATAGTGACCAAATTCTCACGAAAATTCATATCTCAGGCTCAGACAGTGGCCAGGTTTTATCACTTCACAGTTCACATTTCTCCAGCTGGTGACAATGAGCCACAGCAGTTTTAATGTCTATTTTAATTTTTCTATCTGAAAAGCAAGGAGCAACTCTTGTTAATCTGGCTGAAAATTTTCTGAAGGCTTTTGCCTCTATTCAAAGAGGAGGTTCATTGAAACTGAAACATATGGAAAAAAACCCACTGAACCTTTGACCAGTTTCTCATGTAGCTTGGTTTTAGGGCCCTTGAAGCTTTTACAATCCCTACCATGTACTTCCCAGCTCTGGTTTCCTATTGCCACTGATGCTTGCTAGGGGAATAATTGTTGTGCTGGTGGGGAAAGAAGGACTGAACCCTTAAAAAAATCTTTTCTGCAGTTCATAAAAGCAAAAAAGTAATTAATAACCTGCCTGCACCTTGACACCCCCAAAATTTTTGCAGCACATTTGTTCTAAATATGAAATGTTCTGTATGGGGGGTTATTTTGGCTCAACTTTAACTTTCTGCACTAATTACAAAGTCACTTTGTTGACTTCCTATAGATTTTTTAAGCATTATAAGCATTTTTCAGGGTAACTAAACTGTTTAAGTATTTCAGCTGGTCCTGTACATTGTCTTATTTACAATGTAATTAGGACCACTGCAAGAAGAGTGCAAGCAATTAGTGATTTAATCCTGATGCTTTGAGTTTCAGGTTTGGCTTTTTTTGTGCTTTTAATCCTTCCTCACCTCCCTCTCTAAGAATGATGGTAAAAGAATACACAACGTGTTTAAGATTATGTCAAGGAGAGAATTCCAGTTTGGGGACCATAATTGCTTTATATTTGCATGGGCTGCAAATGAAAGTTTTTTTTTTTTCTCTACACTCGGCAGTGTCACCTTGTCTTTCAACAGGTACTTGGGATTCCTGGGTTCCTCTTCTGACTTAGACATTGATTCACTGTCTGGCCTTAGGTAATGTATTATCACACTTTCAAATTTATGTGCCTGTAGCTACATTCAGATACTAAAATAAGTGACTTAAGAACTGTCAAAAAGCAAGTAATTTATGGAGTTATGTAACAATAGAACAAAACCCCAGTTCTGCAGAAGTTAAGGATATTTAGTTTTATACTGATTTGTGCTGTTCACTTAAACATTTGCATAACAGTTCATAGATAGGAGGACTGGGTATCTAATTTAAAGCATCAGATTTTAAATCTTATGTGACTTTGCCTTCATGTGAAATATTTCCTTTTAAGCTATATCTCTGATTCCACAATTATTTTTTCCCCATTAGCCCAATAACCATCAATTACAATGTCTGTTGAGTGAGTAGAGAAAAGCTGATTACTTAATGAAATGATGCTATAATAGCTGTTTGTAAGAAAAAGGAAACAGTGACTTGTGGAAGGTTATTCAATGAAAAATGCACATTTAGGTTGCACTTACTTCTCTTTAATGAATAAAAAGGGGGAAAAAGACACCTGTATTAAGTACATTCTCCACAGATCCCTTGCTTGGACACTAACAAAGAGCAATAAGTGAGATGTCAAAAATTCTCCTGCTATGAAAAACTTAGCAGGAGAATTTTTGACATTTCCATAGCAGGGAAGAAGAATTAGAATTGTATACATATGTATACATATGTATACATTTATATCCACATAGGTGGCTTGCAAGTGACTTTAGTTTCATCCTGAAGGTAAATAAGTGCTGGAGACAAAAGGTGCTGGTGTGGACAGGCAGGATAAGTTCCAGAAGTCCTTCTGGGATGGAAATGGTGATCATTCCTGTGTGAACAACTTCCAGCCATTCCACCTATTATGTACCCATTAGAGTACAAGCACCTTGGACTGCAAATTACATATATGCCCTCCTGTACTTGACATCCCCTTTGCTCCCTTGGTTCGTTTTCAAGAATAGCTCAGACTTTTCCCAGCTTCAATAAAAATATAATTTACACCTTTAAATGATTAAAATATTTTTCTAAAAAAATACATTACTGGATTTAATACTATGTTTTGTGAAATAAGTTAAATGCAGTTTCCTGGTTTCCTGCATATTTAAAACTATGACCCTTTATTTTAAATTTATTATGATATTTAATAAGAAAATCAAGACCTACTTCAACTCTAATTAAAGCTCAGTGGAAATGCAGAAGGATAATGGACATAGGACAGGCAATCATCTGGAAATTTAAAAAGTACTGTTTTCCAGAAAAGGTTTATAACAGATTTTTATTTCCAGAAGGCAGACACAATTCTTTCTACTGTATCAGTTATCAAGAATTTTAATAATTAAGTGCAGAATAATTAACCATTAAATGAAGAAAATTGTATTTTTGTTCCTTGGTAAGGGGTTTCAATATTTATTTACTGTAAGAAAGAGTTGTATCTTCATTTCAAATTACTCTAGTAGAGTTTATTTACATTCATGAGTAAATTTTACAGCCCTCAATATTATATTTTTGCTGTTTTGTATGATCTTAATTCCAGCTCCTGTCGTAGAAATCCTTTTATGTTGGATGCAAACTTATTTTATGTCTTTGTGCATTTGGCCAGGCCAGCCTGGCTGGAATCCACCTGGCTTCATTTGGCTTGTGCCATTCCCAGTAGCTGGGTGTCAGGCCCCTCTAGCTTTTCATAATGTGCTTTTTTGGCAGTTCTAGATAGTTCTGAATCCTGGGTTTACTGCTTCTTGTGCCCTTGGATTATTACCCATACATCTTTCTCTTTATTTCCTTCTTTTTTTTTTTTTTTTTTTTCCTTTTTTCCCTTTTTTACCCCTTTCCTCTTAACTTTTTCACTGGCTGTATCATTACAGTATGGTGAAACACAGTAGGATGGATTTGCTGCTGGTGTGGTTTCAAAAAGTTCTGTTATTTGTGAATTTGGCTTATGCAGAAACAAAAAAAACAAACAAAAACCTGATTTATTGCCTATATGTCACAGGTAGAGTCTTTTCTAGTGTATTTAATAATAAAAAGATGCAGGTAAGATTTCAAATGCACTTTGGTTCCTAAGAGTGCTGCCCAGTTAGGAGGGGCCAAATTAGGCCAAATTCTCTCTATGCTGCTGGAGATTTTAGATGTTGGTGAGGGTTTTTTCTGTTTGGTTTGGTTGTTGTGTTGTGTTTTTTGTTGTTTTACATGTAGAGTCTTTTCTGGTGTATTTAATAATAGGAAAATGCAGGTAAGATTTCAGATGCAGTTTGGTTTCTAAGAGTTAGGAAGTCTTCCAACAAATTAGGCCAAATTCTCTCTATGCTGCTGAAGATTTTAGATGTTGGTGAGGGTTTTTCTGATTGGTTTGGTTGTTGTGTTGTGTTTTTTGTTGTTTGTTTTTGGTTGGTTTGGGGTTGGTGGTTTTTTTTTAAATCAGATGTGCTTTTCTCAATTCAGGCTACATGAAGTATATAATGCAGTGAATGACAAGAATATTTTTGCAAGGCATTTGTGTGACTGCACGTGAAACAAGAATCTTTTAGCACTCCTTTATCAGTAAGGTTTCAAAGATAATGGTTACATTTTATTGGAGAGTGGGACAAATAATGACAAAATCGACCCATTTGTTAAGGACATAAAGCAGAACATTCTTGGGGGAAAAAACATCCACATATTTCTTAGCTCTTAAATATTACATGATTAACAAGCAAAAAAAAAAAAAGAGTTTTTTCATTAATAAAATAAAATTTGTAAGTTTAAGTTAATGCAAAGCTCATTCTTGAAATAATTTGATGAGTCTTATTTAACCCAGTTTAGTAACTGCATTTCTTGTCAAACCAGTCAAGGAGGATCTGACAGTTAATAATAATGTGAAAGTTGTGTTAAAATAAACAGGAGGAAATAATGTGATATTTTTTTCATTAATAAAATAAAATTTATAAGTTTAAGTTAATGCAAAGCTCATTCTCAAAATAATTTGATGAGTCTTATTTCACCCAGTTTTAGTAACTGCATTTCTTGTCAAACCAATCAAGGAGGATCTGACAGTTATTAATAATGTGAAAGTTGTGTTAAAATAAACAGGAGGAAATAATGTGAAGTGCATATGCAATTCTGATTGACTTCCTTTTGCTGAAGTTTGTTCACCAGGAATTTTGCTGTGATTCAGGACCAATGCTCAGTTTGTCTTATGCTGCACAAAAGTTGTATTCAGCAGATGGAAGGGCTCTGATGGATGCAGCACTTAGTTTTCTGCTATCCAATAAAGCTGGAATGACACTGTGTGAATCTGGGAGCTCTCATAATCTGTGAGAAGTCAGGAGAAATTGTATTACAGTAATTGACTTCAGTAGGATCGAGACTTCCTCTAACAATTCCATGGGGCTTTCAGTAGTTTTGCAGTCTATTTTAAGGCATGTGCACACTGGTGGAAGTAGTGCTTCTAATCAAAATGAGCAATATTTTATTCAGACCTTGGAGACCAAGTAGGTAGAGCTAATTGGCTTATAACTGACCTGCTTAAAGGATGTCAAAATTGGCTGTTGGCTGTTCCTTTATAACATTAGTTTGATTGACTAAGAGTCTGGCAGCAAGATATGAAATATTATGAACCCAATTCATTAAAATTGTCCCCATTTTAGATCATTACATATTTTCAGAACAAATGTAACATACTTGCAGTATAAAAGAAATATGGATCTGTAAATTACTAACCCGTCAGCCACCTCCTTCTCCTTCTGTTCCCCTCCCCAGAATAAAAAACTCCATTTGTTCATATGAAAATAAGGGGAGAGCATACATTTTTTTTTTGTGGTACTATGCAAAATAAGTGTCTTTAAAAAAAAAGGAGGAATATTCTGGGCTTGATTTGCTTCCAAGTTATTTGGTTGCCTGTCATAGAAGGACTCAGTTCCAGAGCAATGTGCATGCAGAGCTATCATTACATCAGAATTCTGCCTCCCTCGCATCGGGGAAGATTTTGTTCCTTTGGATAATAGTTTTATTTCACCTTTTTAAAATCACTGACTTTTACTCTGTTAGGTTTACAGCTGCTGTTCCTCAGGTGACTGATCTCACCCCACTGTTGGTAGGATTCAGCTCTGGATGTGGGAGATGAAAGGTGCACGTGCTGTTTGCAGCTGAAGAAACTGCCCTCTAGCCTGTGGGAGGATGGGGAATCGGGAAGTTGCAGTGCCTTGCATGAACATTTATATTTCATACCTGCTCTTAAACCCCTCTATCAGCATAAAGGCAGGACCTACAGGATTATTTTAGTTGTAAAGATTAGTGCTGAAACTTGGTGCTCGGGCGTTACCCCACCTGCTGACCCTGGGGGTTGCACTCTTGCTGAGTGTTGTTCCTCTGAATGTGGGGGAGGTGGGATTCTACTCATCACTCATTTTCAGGTCGTGATTATGCTGGAAATCATCTCATGGAAGTTTGCTTTGGGCCACATTCCAGCTGCTGCATTTTCCAATGTCCTTGGCTGTCTCCTCTCCTCAGGTCCTTGGCTCCATCCTTTTCAAGCAGGCTTGCTCAGCTCTGTTGAAAAGCAGCCACAGCTCCTGTTTGCTCCTGGTTTGTTTGGGCACTGCTGTGTTATACCCAAGGGTGTTCTTTTGTGTGTACACAGGTGATGTCAGTGCCTTTTACATTCACTAGTTCCCATGAAGGGAAATTTAAGCACATCTAGCCATGGGGTTGTCTTGCAAGTTGTGCAGAGCAGGCTGTGCTCTCTGCAGGTGTTTCCACCCAAGGATGTTCTTTTGTGTGTACACAGGTGATATCAGCTCCCATGAAGGGTAATTTAAAGCACATCTAGACATGGGGTTGTCTTGCAAGTTGTGCAGAGCAGGCTGTGCTCTCTGCAGGTGTTTCACATGTGCCTTCTGCCACAGAGCTGCAACCCCCCCAGCTGTGACAGGGACACTGCAGCAGAAGGGATGAGCTGCTTTCCACTGGGAGAAACCCTCCATGGCATGGCCTGGGTGCCTTTACAGACCCTCTGCTGAGGTTTCCAAAGGCAGTC